GCCAAAGACTATAATTCATGCATTTTCAGATATATTCATAAGAAAGACTATAGTTCATGATTTTCACACATTTTAATGCCAAAGACTGTAGTTCATGATTTTCCCTTATTTTCATGCCAAAGGCTTTTGTTCATGATTTTCACACATTTTCATGCCAAAGACTATATTTCACGTATATTCATACCAAAGACTATAGTTCATGATTTTCACATAATTTCATGCCAAAGACTATAGTTCATGATTTTCACTTATTTTCATGCAAAGGCTATATTTCACGTATATTCATGCCAAAGACTATAGTTCATGATTTTCACACATTTTCATGCCAAAGACTGTAGTTCATGATTTTCCCTTATTTTCATGCCAAAGGCTATTGTTCATGATTTTCACACATTTTCATGACAAAGTCTATAGTTCATGATTTTCATACATTTTTATGCCAAAGACTATAATTCATGATTTTTAAACATCTTCATACCAAAGACTGTAGCTCATGATTTACACTTATTTTCATGCCAAAGTGTATTGTTAATGATTTTCACACATTTTCATGCCAAAGACTAAAGTTCATGATTTTCACACATTTTCATGCCAAAGACTAAAGTTCATGATTTTCACAAATTTTCATGCCAAAGAGTATAGATCATGATTTTCACACATTTTCATGACAAAGACTATAGTTCATGATTTTCATACATTTTCATGCCAAAGACTATATTTCACGTATATTCATGTAAAAGACTATATTTCATGATTTTTACACATTTTTATGCCAAAGGCTATGGTTCATGATTTACACTTATTTTCATGCCAAAGACTATAGTTCATGATTTTCATGCAATTTCATCACAAAGACTATAGTTCATGATTTTTACACATTTTCATGACAAAGACTATAATTCATGATTTTCACAAATTTTAATGCCAAAGACTATAAATCATGATTTTCACACATTTTCATACCAAAGAGTATAGTTCATGATTTTCACACATTTTCATGCAAAGACTATAGATCATGATTTTCACACATTTTCGTGACAAAGTCTATAGTTCATGATTTTCATACATTTTCATGATAAAGACTAAATTTCATGATTTCCACAAATTTTCATGCCAAAGACTATAGTTCATGGTTTTCAAAATTTTCATGCCAAAGTCTATAGATCATGATTTTTACACATTTTCATGCCAAAGACTATAGTTCATGATTTTCCCTTATTTTCATGCCAAAGGCTCTAGCTCATGATTTTCACACAATTTCATGCCAAAGACTAAAGTTCATGATTTTCACAAATTTTCATGCCAAAGACTATAGTTCATGATTTTCACACATTTTCATGCCAAAGACTATAGTTCATGATTTTCACTTATTTTCATGCAAAGGCTAAATTTCATGATTTTCACACATTTTCATGCAAAGACTAAAGTTCATGATTTTCACAAATTTTCATACCAAAGAGTATAGTTCATGATTTTCACACATTTTCATGCCAAAGACTATAGATCATGATTTTCACACATTTTCATGACAAAGTCTATAGTTCATGATTTTCATACATTTTCATGACAAAGACTATAGTTCATGATTTTTACACATTTTCATTAATTTTCAGATATATTCATAACAAAGACTATAGTTCATGATTTTAACACATTTCCATGCCAAAGACTGTAGTTCATGATTTTTACTTATTTTCATGCCAAAGGCTAGTGTTTATGATTTTCACACATTTTCATGCCAAAGACTAAAGTTCATGATTTTCACAAATTTTAATGCCAAAGACTATAAATCATGATTTTCACACATTTTCATGCAAAGACTAAAGTTCATGATTTTCACAAATTTTCATACCAAAGAGTATAGTTCATGATTTTCACACATTTTCATGCCAAAGACTATAGATCATGATTTTCACACATTTTCATGACAAAGACTATAGTTCATGATTTTCACATAATTTCATGACAAAGACTATAGTTCATGATTTTCACTTATTTTCATGCAAAGGCTAAAGTTCATGATTTTCACACATTTTCATGCCAAAGACTAAAGTTCATGATTTTCACACATTTTCATGACAAAGTCTATAGTTCATGATTTTCATACATTTTCATGCCAAAGACTATAATTCATGAATTTTCAGATATATTCATAACAAAGACTATAGTTCATGATTTTCATACATTTTCATGCCAAAGACTATAGTTCATGATTTTTACACATTTTCATGACAAAAATTATAGTTCATGAATTTTCAGATATATTCATAATAAAGACTATAGTTCATGATTTTCCCGCAATTTCATGCCAAAGACTAAAGCTCATGATTTTCACACATTTTAAAACCAAAGACTAAAGCTCATGATTTTCACAAATTTTAATGCCAAAGACTAAAGTTCATGATTTTCACACATTTTCAAGCCAATAACTATAGTTCATGATTTTCCCTTATTTTCATGCCAAAGGCTCTTGCTCATGATTTTCACACATTTTCATGCCAAAGACTAAAGCTCATGATTTTCACAAATTTTAATGCCAAAGACTATAAATCATGATTTTCACAAATTTTAATGCCAAAGACTGTATTTCACGTATATTCATGCCAAAGACTATAGTTCATGATTTTCACATAATTTCATGCCAAAGACTATAGTTCATGATTTTCACACAATTTCATGCCAAAGACTAAATTTCATGATTTCCACAAATTTTCATGCCAAAGACTATAGTTCATGGTTTTCAAAATTTTCATGCCAAAGTCTATAGCTCATGATTTTCACACATTTTCAAGCCAAAGACTATAGTTCATGATTTTCCCTTATTTTCATGCCAAAGGCTCTAGCTCATGATTTTCACACATTTTCATGCCAAAGAGTATAGTTCATGATTTTCACACAATTTCATGCCAATGACTAAATTTCATGATTTTCACAAATTTTCATGCCAAAGACTATAGTTCATTTGTGAATTATATGTGCATTTGCACACAATTTCATGCCAAAAATTATATTGCTTTACTCCTTTGCCTAAGTGATCGCTAGCGATTATTTAACGCTTAAGACATTCAACGTTTATTGTAATTCGGTGTTTTCGACTAGTATCGAGTTCGAAGAATAAAAAGTTCGACTGTTCAACCTCGTTGGTGTGTTGTGTATTAATGCTTTCACAGGATATAAGTTTACGTCCGTTCTCTAATACGTTTGTTCCAACATCTCACTAACTCAAACTCATTGAAGCCTGACTCGTCCAGCAGCCAACTCACACACACTAAAATCTCGACTCTTCTAAAAGTTTACTCACTCACACTCACTGAAGTCCAGACTCTTCGAACAGCTCACTCACTAACACTCACCGAGGCTTATACTCTTCGGACAGCTCACTAACGTACACTCACTGAGGCCCAGACTCTTCTAACAGCTTACTCACTCTCACTCACTGAGGCCCAGACTCTTCTAACGGCTCACTCACTCCCACTCACTGAGATCCAGACTCTTCTAGCGGCTCACTCACTCACACTCACTGAGATCCAGACTCTTCTAGCGGCTCACTCACTAGTTCTCACTGAGGCCCAGACTCTTCTAACAGCTCAGTCACTCACACTCACGGAGTTCCAGACTCTACAACAGCTCACTCACTTACACTCACTGAGGCCTGACAGTTCTAACTGCTCACTCACTCACACTCACTGAGGCCCAGACTTTCCTAAAATCTCACTCACTCACACTCACTGAGGCCCAGACTCTCCTAACAGCTCACTCACTCACACACTGCTGAGGCCTGACTGTTCTAACAGCTCACTCACTCACACTCACTGAGGCCCAGACTCTCCTAACAGCTCACTCACTCACACTCACTGAGGCCTGACTGTTCTAACAGCTCACTCACTCACACTCGCTGAGGCCTGACTGTTCTAACAGCTCACTCTCTCACACTCACTGAGGCCCAGACTCTCCTAACAGCTCACTCACTCACACTCACTGAGGTCTGACTGTTCTAGCAGCTCTATCAAACCCACACTTACTTATACACCCCTGCCCACAATTATCGATATGTATATTTGTACCTGTAGAGCCTTTGTTGTGAGTCAGGTTGCCCAAAAAATTGTTTTCCAGTCCACACGTAGCTTAATACTACTCACATTTACCCTAGTTTCCAAGATTTTTCGAACTGTGACTTTCCTGTACATATTTAGCAACAGTTGCAATAGTAATTTTTTTCGATTCCGTCGATATGCAAAACGTGCTGGTCTGCTTTGTTTGTGTAAATGTGTCACAATTGGATCTGAAATATAAGAAAATTTAGAAGAGAAAGATAGACTACTTCCTTTGAACTGTTGATAAAGTTAAACTGTTATTGAAATTACGCTTGACACAAAACATCGAACACTCTGGAGAATGTCGGTTGAAGACTGACTCAAAATAAATATGACAACATTTTAAAGCGTTTCATGGAGCAAAACCTCTTTAGGAGAATGACAAATAACCGGATTTACGTTCCATACGCACCCAAAATCAACCTTCATAGCTGTTCAAAAAGAGAAATTCCCTTTCTTGGTAGCTTGATGTGAAATATGTTCCTCTTTAAAAATCAAAGAAGAACTGTACATCAAAAAACTTAAGCCTAATCTCAAGAAAAAAATTCAGCATGTCAATACTATCTTTGATTTGTAAATAACTTAACACCCCTAATCAAAATATTGTAAATAATTTTAGCATCGACCTTTTTTGTCTATAAATATATCATGTATTATATTTCATCATGAATTAACTCTATGTAAATATTCCATTCATTATACTGCACTGAAGATGGCATAAGTTCGCCAAAATATGTATGCCTTACAAAATTTAAAAAAGTGCTCATTTACGTTAAATGTTTGATTTCAATCAATTTTCACAAAAACCCTTCCTGAAATTGTTTTAACCACAAATAAACTTTATTTTCTTTATTAGCATGCACATATCTATTGACCTTATATTAAAAACAAGAAAAAAACTCCAAATTTTGACCTTCTGGTAAGGCTTTAACCAAGTATCTGATTCGGTTTTTCTAAAGATCGTTTTAATGAGTATTAGTGTTATTTTCATATGTATGCTAGTTGAATAATTAGATTTCTTGCTCACCTCCAATCACAGCTAAAGTATACCATCTACTTTCAATGCAAACTTAGTCGAGTAGCTAAAGAAGTCAACAAAATCTCCAGCGCCGTCAAAGAAGAAAATCCCATCACAAAAGAAATACAACACATGTAAACTTTTATTGAAGAGATAATGTTATATCTTCAAAGCAAGAGTCTACATGAAGCAACGACTAAAGTACCTAGTGCAAAGAATAAACTTAAAAGTACATCTTGACTACTGGCAGAAATATTTCTGAATGGTGATGTGCCCCATCAAATGAACTCAATATTTAGATATCTGGAATTATCACTGAATGGCGCCATACTTCAAGAAGCTGGATGTAAATGTTCACTGTGCTAACGAAAACTGGAATTGACCATGTGACCATTTTATACAAACTTCCACTAACATCAAATTAACTTAACCTTCCAGCAATGCTTAAGATTCATAAACAATTCAGTCAAAATTGCATTTTTGTATTTTAATAAAGAACAATTTAAGCATCGAAGTAAAGAAAAAAACTTTCTGCTGTTGAATTTGACATTGTGGCGGTTATATGCACAGGCAGGAGGTAATTTATTTAACTTAACATATTTTTACAAAATTTTCAATACTGAAATAACTTCAATGAGTTTCGATCAAAACTCCCCATCCAGCACAATTGATCCATATGTGTGATTGAAAAATCTGAAGATCCACCACAAGCCTCGTGCGATGTTCATTCGACCTTGCTCTTATGAAATGTCTTCTTCAATAAAACGACTTCGTTCGACTACGTTACAATTACATCGAGTACATTTGGCTGCCTTAAATTTTTAAATGTCAACTTTAATGAATGCCGATTTCTTGAATGACTCCGACTTTTTCAAACGATGACTGGTGAGCAAAATTTGTCTCAAAGCGTATTTTGGCTGCACTTTTTCTTTGAGTAGCTACACTTTGCGTTTCATTGATGTGATAAAAATAAGTTATTTTATTTTATAATGGATTGTGAAACTGGCTGTTGTATTCAATTCTAATCAAGTATATAAAATTGTACGAAAAGAAAATTTAAAATATTTACATAAGCGATTTGCTTTTACAAATTGAAACCAAGAAAAGCGAACTGCGTCTTTACTTCTGCTGATAAAGTTGTGCATTCATATACCACATGATTTACAAACAACGAAAATACCTTACTCAATTTCACCTACAAAATTGTGTCCATTGAACTGATGATGTGGTATAGGACATGTCCAGTATTTTTTGCAAGGTGATTTAAGATAGGTATTGCGTATCAGAGTCGTTGTACAGGTTCTATAAAAGAAATTACTGCATAAATATCAATTATTGAATGAAAAAATATGGCTGCTATATGTGCTGATTAAATTTACTGCCAATATTGTGAATTAAATGTTAGAAACATTTCTGACAACGAATGATTTGCTGATGTTAGAATTAGCTATACAAAAATGATTGTTTAGCACATAGCTCAAAAATTCATAACAAAGTAGATAAATTTTCTGACTGCTAGAGTTGAGATGTATAAAAAAGAAGTATTCTTTCAGCATTGGCACAGAACCTATCTGTCGGTACTAGCTACATAAAAAGGTTTTTGTCAGTACATATTATATTTTCTACATGACTTTTATCGAGTAACATCATTTATTTAATACACATACACACCTTCCTTTTGCGTTCCATAAGTAATTACTTGGAAAAGTAATAAAGCCAACCATATAACCACAGTGATCAAAAATAATGAAATCGTTAGTACTTATATGAAGTTCTTCCCAAATATTTCCTCCCGTTGGCTCTTGGTAAATATCAAATTTTGCTCTCCGTCTCAGATGACGAAATCCTGAATCATTGTGACGATTGATGGCCATAAAATTTATGTCCAAAATATCCCTAAAAAGTGAATTACAAATATTTATCTTCGAATTTTCGATCATATCGATAGAGTATATGTGCTGCTATATATGTTATGAAGCTCAATGCATTTTTGGCAACTCTGTGAATCAATTAAGTTCCAATTCAGCATGACGCTTTGAAGTTTGCAGAATTAGAATTACTGAATTAGAATACTGAAATTACAAATCTAAAGTTGAATTGTTGCTGCTTAATTATTTGATTACATTTTGAGGACATTGTAACAGTGCATGTCACCTTGATTATTAACAGTAAGTTACAATATGGGTATACAACAGCTCTATTGTTTTATTGACTCATACCTATTTAACAATTTAATCTATTAATAAATATTACGATTTATGAAGGTTGTTTACTCGATGATGAACGTTGAGCTGTTGATACAATAGCTATCTAACACTTAGCGGTGTTTCTGTTGATTACCTTCGACAACATTTTGCACACTAATACGGATACAACACTTAATACGGATACAGTGGAAATATAAAAAACAGAAAATTAAAACAAGGAACAAGTCTTCCCATTGTCATTAACACAGCGATGCGTTCAAGCCTTTAGCTTTTTAATTCAAATCCATCGGTTATGATAAATCATTATATATATGTAGCATCAAATGTACTTTCACATTTACACCTTCACCAAAGATATATTCCAGCTACATACGTCATATTCTTGTCTTTAAAAAAGGAAAAAGTCAAACAATTCTAACTGACTTAAATGTTGACCATTTAAGCAGCAAAACTATGTAAAATGAAATGTCGAAAGAACTTTTAATATTGGATGGTAAATGTGACAAATGCATTCAATAAATTTTTGTCTATAAAGATTTGATACCTTTACATTTTCATTATTTAATGGTAACAATGCAGTGGTTTTCACCCCCAATAAATTTATCCATTAATTAAAATACATTGCACACTTGAGATTATAAATTACGCGATTTTGTAATTTGTTTCATTTAAATATGTTATTGAATATCAGAATAACACACAACACCTAATAGTACTTACATATTGCGATAGTTGTGCAACAACAAATCCATTCCTTTGATTTGAATCCTTGAGTCTTTATTGTTCCCTTCAAGAAAAGCCAAAAGAATATGGCTTCCTTCTTTTTCTTTGAAGATATTTGTTCCATTGATAATAAGTTGTGGAAGTTTTCTACAGCAACGAAGTTTAACTGACAAAACGAAAGTGTTGGTCAACGCAACCATGACGAGGAAAAACAGTTTGTTCATGGTTGATTCTACCCCTAATGAAAAAAACGAGCAGAGAATAGTTTATATATAGCTAAGTATCGCTCCCTCGGGTGTGTCATATAGTTGACAACTTAAGAATAAGATAAGAATTTGACAGTTGGTGGGTGTGCTATAGTTTTTTTATGTATTTTTATCTTGACTTGAAAGACAATTGGATCACGTTTTGTCAAGGCTACTTTGTCCAATCAAAATCGATATTATCTTCCGTATATTGAATTTTAAAAGCAACCAGCCACTAACGCATTTTCTTGTTTGCTTTAAATTACATCACTTTTTGTTTAAAAAAATCCTAATGACGCTAGTAGCTAAAAGTTATCAATGCTAAGTCGATCCTGAAACAGCCAATGGCCTCGCAGATATTGATTTTTTGCAAACAATCATTTCATCAACTTTTTTTAAAGAAACAATTTTGATGCTTGTGTAGAGATTTTCTGACCGACTTAAATTTTTTTCATACACACTTCACATCAATGTCCAAACACATTTGCGTCAGAGTTTTTGTTACGAAATCTATTACAAAGCTGTATTGCACGTTTTAAGATACGCTATAGCAACATCTTATCTTCTTCATTCTGTATGATAAGGCTCTACAGTCAATTAACATAAGTGAATTTTTGCACTATACGTATATAAAAGACCTCGACTATTGAAAAAAAGATATTTTAACAAACAACTTTCCTGTTCTATCTCTTCCACTGTTAACTATTTATTCATTTGATCCAATTTTTAAGAAACAGCTAGTTGAAAAATCAATCCACACCATTTAAAAAATTGCATTGTTAATCACGCAAGCTTTTATATTGCTGATTTCTATAGTATATGAAAACTTTTAGACACGAAAATCAAACTTTTTTGAATAAAAACGAAGATTTTACTAAGTATAGAATCATAATAAATTTACAAAGTTTTATAGTTCAAAGAGCTCAACCATTTAATTCTTCATGAGTTCAAGATATAATATATTGCACGTAAGTTACTATAGTTTATGGATGATATGATTGAACGCAATAGATAGCTATTTGAATTTTCTCTTCAAGAAATATTTTAGAAAAAGTCGCAAAGATCATTAAATAATTACAAACCTTTTGTTGAGAAAATCTATATTCAAATGCAGTTTTCTTGCGTACGATGGAATGTGATCGCAAATGAGTGATGCTTTCACGTTATCGATTTGATTTTTTTTGCTCAAAATGTCATTATAATTATCCTTTTACAAGGCAAAAAACACGTAATCTCCTTAATGACATCCTGATTACGACGTCTCATAAAAATATCCATCAACACCGGGGCGCATGTACTTGCAAGTGAAATATTTATTTAAACGCGATAATACATTATATATCCTTAACCTAACAGATTGTTTCAGCTAAATCAACAAAAATTTTTGCAATCACATCTAATAGCTATCATGTAGGTATTGGTAGGTAGGTGACACAAAGTACCAACAGACGTTTAAATGTCTTTTGCCATGGAAATGAGTAAAATGATTTAGCAAAGGTAAAGAAGTCCCCACTTATGAATGTTTCAAAAGATTAGAAATTTTTAAGAGAGAAATACAAAATTAATTATCACATTTTTATCACTGCCATTATTGCAAAATTTTCTGTGTAATTTGAATTTGTGCTCATGAGCATGCATGGATTTTGTATTTGAAAAACGAGACAGATCAGCTAAGTGATTTTTTCCAAATTCTAACTACTTATTCTGTCACGAACTTCCTTTATTTTAAAGAAATCTATTCAATGTACACAGATCAAATTATTAAAGCATCAAAAATTAAAATGATCATGGTAAACACAGTGAATTTATGGGATTTTGGAATCAAAGAGACGTGATTTCTTCTATGATTCACAATTTGGTTTCAAAATTCCATCAGTGATCTCATTTTCTTTTGTATGAAAAACATGCTTTGTCCGTATGTAATTTACATATTAGCAAGCAGGCACTATTTATGATTTTATAACCAATTG